AACGCTGGGAAACGCACGAGGTAACGCTGGCAAACGCACGAGGTAACGCTGGCAAACGCACGAGGTAACGCTGGCAAACGCACGAGGTAACGCTGGCAAACGCACGCTCTTAACGCTGGCAAACGCACGCTCTTAACGCTGGCAAACGCACGCTCTTAACGCTGGCAAACGCACGAGCTAAGGCTGGCAAACGCATGAGCTAAGGCTGGCAAACGCACAAGCTAACGCTGGCAGTTCTATAAGCTGACTCTGGAAAACTGGTCTGTGATGAAAAACCAGTTAAAGACCACTATGTTAGAATGTCAGCATGTGAACTTTTTCCCTAAAACTACGTATCTCAGTACACCATGAAGACGCAAGACAAATCTGTAAAAGTGAAATGGGTTTAAACTTTGCAGAATTGCTGCATAAATAACTATTTTCTAATTGAAAAWACTAGAATAATCCACTGAATAAATGTGAGTTTTAATGGTTTGTGCATTGCAAGTTGTTGATTTGATGCATTTGGGGAAAAGATTAATTTGTATTTTATCTTACAGTAACTTGCAAAAGTATTGCACCGTAATGCATTGTGGGTAAATTAAAAAACAAAAACCCCAGTCGTTGCCCTGCCGATTGTGCAGCATCCTGTTTGAGCTCTCTGTGGTGAACCAGAATGACAGCAGGCCTAAATCTGGTGGCGGTTTCCCCCTCAGGAAAGAGAACCAACCATCGGATTCACGGCGCAGCAGATTTTCTGCACAGAAAGACACGTTACTAGCCGAAGAGCGCGATCTGTAGCTGGCAGCTGCTGAACTGCAGCTCGAAGGTGATGCAGCAGAGCAGTTTACAYGAGAAAAGAGCTGTTAGACCCCCGGGCCAAAAAGAAAAGTGAAAGAGAAGCGAGCCCTTCAGCCAGCATGATTTATTGATGGAACTTGGCGTTCAAAGACTTCCTCAGAGACAGAGCCAGGTTCAGCTCCAGGATCCTTTCAGGTGGAGKTCTAAAGGCTAAAATGAGGAAACAAAAAAAGAAAACGTGCTGATTTAAGTACTTTTTATAGATCGGGAAATTGTGTCGATGTGCTGAGGTCATAGTTAAATAATCTGTTCTTTATATAATGTGCATGTTTTTTAATAGAAATATTTTACCCTCTTTTAAAGTTTTACTAAAYAATCAAACTAACTTTTTCATTTTAACAGCCACGGCCCACCTCCTCACCTGCAGACTTTATTTTGCTGCTCAGAACAGACAGATTGACTCAGAGCATCGAGGATTCTCAGAGTATTGTTTCCAACATTCGCTGGAKGAGTTTGTTGAAGCCGACCWGGTGAYCTCAGTCTGTATTTTCTCTCTCTCCTCCAGTTTATGGTGGTTTGAGGGASGTTAAACAAGTGCGTAGTGTTAGCATAAACCCTGAGTTGGCATTAGCTCAGCMCCAAGTGGCAAATACKAAATAGSTAGGGTTGGGCAAAATCGTACGATGTAATTATTTATCTGAAAAACACTGATACGGAGCGTTAGTGTTAGCTTAGCATTTGCTTAAAATTAGCAATAACATTAGCTCCATGCAACAACGACTTTTTATGTTAGGAATTGCAGTTATTACCAAATATTAATCAGACACTTCTGATGATTTATAACACACGATACAAATTTGCCTGACCCTACAGGAAATATAGAGTGTTAGTGTTAGCTTAGCATTAGCTTTATATCAGCATAAATTCTAGCTCCATACAATGACATTTTAAGTTAGAAATTGCAGTTTTTACCAAGTGCCAAATATTACAGACAGTAATATTGACAGGGACAGTTTTTCAGACAACTAATTGCATGATATGATTTTGCCCAATAGCTGTTACCTAGAAATATGGAGGGTTAATGTTAGCTTTAGCATTAGCTCTGTGCAACAATGRCTTTTTAAGTTAGTAATTGCAGYTATTACTAAATGCCARATATTAATCAGATACGGTTCTTCTGGTGATTTATTACACACAAKATGATTTTTGCCCCTCCCTAGATGGTACCTGGAAATATTTAATGTTAGCTTTAGCTTAGCATTAGCTCCACATTACATTGACTTATACAAGTCACTAATAGCAGTATTTGCAAAGTGCCAAATCTTAATCATTGATAGTTTTTCTGATGAATTGCACCGTATGATTTTGCCCAACCCTAGCTTAACGTTATACCTGGTTTTTATTTCTCAGGTTGCTCAGCTGTGGCGGCCATTTTGACTGAGGTTGACTCAAAATTAAAGCTGTAGATTGAGACAGTTCTGTGAGTTTTATATCAGAGGGTAAAAATGGATGAGAGTATGACCTGTCAGCCACAGTGTGCCTGTCAGCACCACCTCCTCGCCTCCTGAACCTTTGAACCGTGACGAGCTGCAGCCAGTTTTATGAGCATCGTAAAAAAAAAAAGAAAAAAAAGGAGAACGACTCACGTAGTTAATCGGAATAATCTGAGATGAGTCGTTTGGGCCTTGTAGAATAATAAAGCAAAGTTCTGTCAGTTTGTGAGATCAGTCTGAAAGACTTCCTGTACTCTGTTCAGATCAGGGTCCACCTGAGACCGGATCTGGTCTWCTGAAGTTTGACCTCTGCATCAGCCAATCAGGAAGCTCTGAGCTGTTTGTCCTTTTCCAGCAAACAAGTCGACAACAACAACAAAAAAACAAACATCCAAGCCTCCAGAATATGTCTGTTAGCACAATATCTCCTGAACCAGTGGACGAGCTTTAATGAAATCCTCTCAGCTCATTCATTTATCTTCGGCTTCTTTTTGCAGCTAAAGATCTCGTTCAACGAGTCGAGCCTGCACAGCACCTACGAGTATCCGTCTGAGAGCAGCGTGTGGGACAGCGGGGACGAGGAGGACGAGGACAAACGGGACGAGCAGCCGAGCATGGTGGGACGGATCCACATCCCCCGACCCGGACTTATCGGCTCGGACAACGGCAGCGGTGAGACGAGCGCCTTTTAAAACTTCTGTCRGTAAAAATCTGCAGAGAAGTTTTATTTCAGGGCGAAACAAGCGACTAAACAGTCCCAGAATATAAAAATAAATGAATATTAGAAGAAACAAAACCCCTGTAGTTAAACGTAGACAAAACCGAAATAATATATGGTTAAATGATGTCTGAAAATAAGTTTGAAGTCTAAAAATGGTCATTTATTTAGAACTTAACCTAATGTTGACACTTTTTTTTATTTTTTTAAGCTTGAATTCTGTTTTTTAGCTGTAATATTTTTTGCAAAATGAGCCCTAACTAGTGAAGTTTGAGATCAGGTCACTGTGTTGTGAGTTTTAATTTATTCATCCATAAATTACTGAGATTTTCTTGATTTAAAGCTAATTTTTCAGTTTTTATGACAAACATTCTGACAGCTGCAGACAGTTAAACAAATGTTATTTAGGAGCTGAAATTAGAAGTTTYTGTGCACAAAACATTAAACTACAAAAGTGAAGCAGAATAAATGAGGAAAAGATGTCATTCATTAGTGTGATTACAGAGACCCCTGCTGGACAAACTGAACACTACACTCATTTAGTTTCTATCTCTGTCCAAGTCACTTTTTAAATAAATAAAAAATAAGCCGATCTTACCAAAGTGTTTTAATAAACAGGGATGTGTTTATCCAAATACAGTTTATAAAAACGTGAAATAGAAAACAAGACGTCTGATTTTTATATTTATTATTATTTGCTTCTCTTGCTTTCAGACCTCTCCAGCTACATCCCCAAACACTCGGTGGACTTCAGCGCCTGGCAGGAAAACAAACACGAGGAAAACGTTCGGCAGGAGGACGCCGGCTCGCCGCAGATCACTGAGGAGGTCATGGTGAGAACACACACACACATAAACACACACAGGTTTGTTCTTCAACCCCGTGGGGACCTTCCATTGACTTCCATTCATTTTTTTTAGACTTTAAATCCTAACCCTGACCATATACTCTAAAATTAACCTCACAGTTAACTCGTCACAGAGCTTCCTACAGCAGGTATGATAACAAAACTCAAAGTTTAGAACCATTACTTGTAGAAAACCACCCGTTAGATTTAAAAGACACCTCGGAGCAAATAAATGTGACTTTGGGTTTGTAAATAATCAGTGTTGTCTCCATCAGAGGGTCATAAAAATGAGATTTGGGTCAAATATGAAGAGAAAAATCAGATTTCTGTCACCTTTGCCTGAGATTTGAACACTAACGATGCATTTCTAAGATCATTAGCAGCATCACGTGACAGGATGTGTTTCATCGACCACTTTACACGAGCAGTTTGTGCTCACAGTACGTGTTGAGGATGAGTCTCAGCTACTGCCACAGCAAATTTGAGCTCCCTATCTGTAAAAGTATTAGTTATAAACATCGTTCTTCCTCTGGCTTTCAGCAGGGGGAGATGGTGAGACTGCATTAAGACTTTTGCACAGTCCTGATAACCTGWAAGTTGTTTTTGTTTGTTTGTTTTGTTTTTGTCCTCAGCTCACTCCGGCGGACAGCTCGTCTCTGTCCGACTACAGCAGCGAACCCGCCCTCTACTTCTGATCGACCAATCAGCTGCGCCRTAGCAGAGCTCACAGGAAGTTCAACCTGATTGGCTCCGGTGAGGAGGAGGAAGCAGCTCTGGTTTATTTTTTATTTAAATTTTTTTTTAATCCTGCCATTCGGAGCTGCTATCCGAGCATCATCTTCCTCACGATGAAGCAGCTGGGCTGTTTTTTTTTTGTTTTGTTTTGTTTTTTTTCCTCCTCCTCTGATCTCAGACAGTTGATCTGTCAGCACCGCGCCTCCTTCAAGCTCCGCCTCTTTTTCACTTTAGGACCAAAAACTTAAAACATAAATAAAAATTAAAATAAAAAAAGAATAAAGTCTGTATGGCCACGGTGAGCTCAGTGTTAGAATGGCAACATGTCATAAAAAAAGAGAAATAAATAATCTGGAGGACGTTTCTGCTCACGGCAGATTTAAAAACAAAAACTTTTTTTTTAAACAGTGAAAGGGTGCCACATTTGTTTACGTCTGTTTTTGTACGTGCACGTTTTGATTTCAGCTCTTTTTACTGGATCGCCTTTTGTTTTTGGTTTTTTGTTTCCTGCTGTAAAATAATGTATCAAACTTCTTATTTGGTGACGGAGGAGGAAACTTGTGCACCCTGCAGAGAGGCGGGACGAGAACCTGTCAATCAATCTGTAGCAGCTTTCAGTTCTTTTATCGGGGAAAAAAAGTGACCTTCGCCAATAATGTCTGTAATAATTTGTTTTTATTTGGTGACTGTAAAAYGACGGCTTCTTGTGTATTTATTCAGATCTGCACGTCTGAACGGTTGTTTGTTTGTTTGTTTGTTTTTGTTTGGGGAACGCCGTCGCTCCGCTGGATGTAATCGTGTACTCCGACATTCCGCAGGTTTGTTTATGAACAAACAAGAAAACTGTTTTTTAATCCAGATTTTTTTATACGCATCGTTTTGGTTTTTCTCATCATGCCAACAGATTGAAGTATTTCTGTACAGTTTCCAACACGAACATCTGGAATCGTCTCATCAGTCCTTAAAGCTGGATCTTTGTCGTCTTGGATGTTTCATTTTTATTTTTTGCACTGTCATGCTTTTAGCTGCGTTTTGCACCTCATGAAGTCATTAAAGGAGGACAAGAGTTTCTGCTGATGTGAAACCACTAAAACTCTTCAGCTGGTTGCCATGTATATTCAGCTGAGACTTTGCCACTCCTCGTCGCTGTGACCCCGCCCACAGACTAACAGCCTCGTCGCTGTGACCCCGCCCACAGACTAACAGCCTCGTCGCTGTGACCCCGCCCACAGACTAACAGCCTCGTCGCTGTGACCCCGCCCACAGACTAACAGCCTCGTCGCTGTGACCCCGCCC